CGTAAATTGATTATTCTTTTTAGGATGTGTTCTCTGTAAAACAGTGTGAAAAGTTCTCAGGTGGAAAATGATTTTTCACAGCACGCTAACAGATCACTTTTAAAAGCTGCTGTCAAAGAGGAATCAATGGGCTGTAGCACTTGCTGTGTTTCTGACAACTCTTTAGAAAGTGAAACTGTATTTTTCTTAGACAAAAGCACGCAGGCTTTGAGATTGCACATATAAGCCACATTCATATTTTGCATTTGTCTGACTGAGGAAATATATTGACTTGAATGTATATTTGTCTTGGATGTGTGGGCAGCCACTAAATGAGACTATAGCTCAACAGAGATGTTCACTGGGAAAGACATTTAAAAGGCAGACGAGATAAATAGGAGATACCGATAATAATGAGCATATTGTTTTACTTTTTACAGTGATTTTCAGTATGGAAACAAGAAAATGTGAAACACAATTTGTAAACTGTCTTATGTAAATACTATTAAGTACAAAGTGAAGTACAAAATAGCAACAGAATGTACAGTAAACTGTCGTCTTGGGGTTTGTCTCAGAATTCGTCAAGGATCCATGTATATCCATGTATATTAGCATATATAGTACATTTTTAAACATTTAAAACGCATCAGCTTTACTGATCCATATGCTTTATCATATGAACACAGAGAAGGACAACAGTCTCCAGAGCAGTGGCAGAGGATGTACGGATGTTGCTCGGGCAATGAGGTCTACCACATCCGCTTGTGCGACAGCAAGTTCTTTGGAGAGTATAATGGCAAAAGCTTCACATATGCCTCCTTTCATGCTCACAAGAAGTAAGTTGCCATCTTATTCAGATGCCAACAAGTTAAAAACAAACATTTAAAAGGGTTGTTACATATCTTCTTCCTGTTTGTTTGTCTTTTTGGTTTGACCTGCCATCATCTAATCAACTACAACAACAGTGCGCCGCTATTCTTTTGTCTCATCATAGTCTATGAATTCTATAGATATGTTTTTTCTGATTGAGTTTATTTTTTTTATTATTTATGTAGATGTTATGCTTTTCTCTTGCAAAAAAGTGGTATTAAATATGATTCAGTTTGCAAGAATAATTCAGCTCACAACTACAAAATATGAACACATACAGACAGGTGACAAAGGAAAGGACAGGCCTGGATAAATGAGTGATATCTTACAGGTTGACATTGTCCCCACTCATAGGGCACAAGGGGTCACTGAATGGTTTTAAGGGGTATAAAAATGATGTGAATCATATGCTGTGACCTTCACAGTCACCAGGTCTGTCTGTGTGTTTCATGCCCAGACAGCCCTGCTGCTTTTGTTTAAAGGCATTTTGGTAAATACTCTTATTCACATTACTGAGACTTAACTGAGCAGATTATATCTGTCTGTTACACATGAGGCTGAGGGCAGCAGTCAGTTAGCTCAGCCAGTGATAAAAACTGAAAACTGACTGTGATGTCCAGATATGGCGTGTGTCTGATCGGTATAAAGAGGGAAGACAACAAGAGCATCTTGCTGAACCCTGGCCCGCGTCACATCATGGCTGCCACAGACACCTGCTACTATATCAACATCACCAAGGAGGAGAACTCAGCCTTCATCTTCAATCAGGAGGAGAGGAAGGGCCGCCCTCCCTTGGGACTCTATGATGGGCCCTCACAACTTCCTGTGCACAGCATCATTGCTAGCATGGGTGAGAGAGGAAGTAGAGTGTGATGAACTGTTCTTGTTGGTAAAATAGGTCTGAAAGGTACTGATGAATTTGTTTAGTTTGAGGGAGCTGCTTCATTTTGAACATATTTTACAGGTACCGTTGCCATGGACCTTCAGAATACGAGCCCACCCGATGTCTCAGGGTGTAAACTGGTCCCACCTACAGTGAATGGAACAGGGAGCCGTCGGCCGAGCATAGCTCCTGTTCAGGAGCTTGCCGACTCATCCTCAATCCTGCCATGTGACCTCCTCAGTGACCAGTCAGAAGACGACTCTGTCTTCACAGATGACAAAGGCCACTCATCTACTGAGTAAAGTTTTTATTTCTCTGTGTGTACCTACAGTACTGTACCTCCATACCACAAAGATGTAACCACAAGGAGGCTGAGCAAATAACACAGGCCGTAACACCATTTGCCATCCTTCCAACATATCCAACCAAAGCAGACCAAAATATTTCCCTTACCTGTTATATTTTGTGACTAGATTGCACCACTTGAATGTAATGTTGGCAACATGAATACATTAGCAAAGTAAGAATTTCATTGTACAGGAAAACACGTTTCCTAACTGTGCATATGACACTTTGACCTTTGACATTAGTGAACCCTGTATATTCAAAACATTACCTATTAGCTTAAAATTAGGAAAACCTGACCATTTTTTCCCCAAGATGAACATACTGTTTCCATGAGATGTGTCATTCATGTTCTTTTGATATGTTGCCAGGTATGTAAAGGGCTATCCCCCTAACTCTCCATACATTGGGAGCTCGCCCACCTTGTGCCATCTGTTGGCTGAGAAAGCCCCGTTTTGCTGCCTACGACTAGACCAGGTGGGCAGCTGCTGTTCCCTCAACTTAGTCACTCAGTTACTGACTGCCACTGTTATTCCTTACATTCCTTTCCTCGTTTCTCTGCCCTTCATTTAATTAAAATCAAATCTTTTTTTTTTGTTCCTTGTGCAGGGTTGTCGGCACAATAGTTTTGAGGATGCCAAGGCTTATGGTTTTAAAAACAAGCTCATCATTGTGTCTGCTGAGACTGCTGGGAATGGTCTCTATAACTTCATAGTACCTCTCAGAGCTTATTACAGACCCAGGAAAGAACTCAACCCAATTGTCTTGCTGCTTGATAACCCGTGAGTTCACCCTGACACACGTATAACAGATACATTGTTCCTTTCACCATTTCACCAAACATGATTTATGATAAAAGCTCACATCAGGAGAGCACTTAGGACAAGGCTGTGGAGGTGGGACTCCATTGTCAGACCTGATGTTAGGCTACCGCTGCTGCTGCTCACAGTGACGGTGTGTTTTGAATGACAAAGAAAATAAAAATGCTGCTCTCTGTAGCGCCAGACAGTCACCATGGTAACTTGCTTTGCCTTGAACCTGAATGATATATATTGCTACAAGGGAGAAAAAAATGGAGAAAATGATTTCTTTGGAGAACACCAAGCAAGTTTTCATCAACAGCCCTGATGTGTCGCTTTTCAGCCCCCACATGCGAGCTCTCAGTACGCTCATAGAAACACAAACACGAACAATAAACTCTCCCTGCATGCATCTCTCTCTCCCTTCCTTCCTATTGCTGTCGCACACACACACAAATACAAACACCCACACACTGGGATACGCAATTCAGGCACTTATGACAGCCTTGGGTCTCTAGTCAGCAGGACTGGGCAGATGCATAAAGCAGTGATCTGTCAGGGGTGGTGGTGGAGGACAGGCAGTAATAAAGCAACTAAATCTCTCTTAGTGTGCTCAGCGGACTCATCCTTCAGCCTGAAGACACACGTAAGTAGGGAGTTGAACTACCACAGAGGCTCCTGAGGCCCTGGTAGTTACTGTGTATTCAGTGTGTACTAAGCTGAAATCCTAGTGATTTTGACTTGACTATAGTTTATTTAAAATTATTTTTAATGTCTTTTTGGATGCAACTGCTGGAGAAATATTGCTAAATGGATCGGTAAGAAATTACAAATCGACATTGAAATTTTTATTATAGACAGTACTCATGTATGTATATAATGTATAATTTACATGTTGGTTAGTTTGTTTTTCTTTCTGCATCTTGCCTGACATTTAGTGGATTTCACATGGGATTACAAGATACATCTTTCTGTTCAAAAACAAAACAACAAATCCGGTAACACATATACAAAACAAAACAAAAAAGCAACCATATCATATTTCTATGTGAATAATTTCAGTTAACATGTATTTTTCAGCAAATGTTCAACTAAATTGTGCACCAAGCACAAGCAGAAGAAAGACAAGAAACACTACATGTCTGAAGTTCATCCTTTGTTATCCTTTCACACTGCATGTCTTATTCATACTGAAGAAACGACTCTCAGAAAGATCTAAAACTCAAATGTTATCAGAACAGAGGACTTTGGCAGAACCAGTTGAAGGCAGCTTCCTCATATTAACCTTACCTGCTTATGGAACTAAATGTTCTCACCAAGAAAGAATATCTTAACTCCTGGAGAGGATTACATGAAGCATACCTGACTTGTAAATTCTCCCCAGGTTGTCTGCCAGGCTTCCTCCAAGTAACTGACAAACTTAAATGTGAATAGACAACTCAGTGCTCCATGTTTAAACAAAGGTTTCTCTTTTTAAGTCTTTCCAAATGATGTATTGTGTTGTTGTGTTTAAAAATGATATCAGAAAACAAAATGGAACTTTTTTTTTTATGTCATATACACTTCCTATAGGCCAGATAATCACTTTCTGGAGGCCATCTGCTGTTTCCCTATGGTCTACTACATGGCAGGGACCTTAGACAAGTAAGACTCTCATTATATATTGCATTCATTTTCTCTTTAAAATAAACTGAAGGGGAGTTTGTACTTTAATTAGATGTACAAAATGTTCCAGGCAAATTGGTGTCTGCTGCTGTTATACTTACTGTTGTTTATGTGTGTGTGTGTTTTTCAGTCTGGACAGCCTGCTGCAGTGTGGCATTATCTACGCTGATAATTTGGTTGTTGTCGATAAAGAGAGTACAATGAGTGCTGAGGAGGACTACATGGCTGACGCCAAAACTATTGTCAATGTACAGACAATGTTCAGGTAATTGATCAGATTTCACATTATTTATGACATGATTTTCAATTATACAACATCAGTATATTGTGATGTTGGCCTGCAATTTTCTTCTTCTTCTTCTTTTTGATGTGGCCTGCAATAGTATTGCTAAAATGACTTTGAAACCCTGGTAATAAATTGTGGTGTTCAGTCAGCTGTTCCTTTCCCCCTCCCCCTTTGTGTTCTTTCTTGTTCCAGGTTGTTTCCCAGTCTCACTATCATCACAGAGCTTACTCATCCATCCAACATGAGATTCATGCAGTTCAGAGCAAAGGACTGCTATTCACTGGCCCTGTCCAAGCTGGAGAAAGTAAGACACAACAAGAGGGCTTATGGTGAATTGCATGGTGTGAATTATGCACATAAATTATAGTGAGAGGACGTAGAAGTTGCCCCCTGACTTTCTAGGTTGTCAGAAACACTACAAACTTAAATGTTGTTGACTATTCCTGTGTTTGTGCCTTTTCTCTCTTTCACAGAAAGAGCGTGATAAAGGCTCCAACCTGGCCTTTATGTTTCGTCTACCCTTCGCTGCAGGTAGAGTGTTCAGCATCAGCATGTTGGATACCCTGCTCTATCAGGTTAGTGCACACCTACAGCTACAGTAAACACTCATCTTCAGGTGACTCTTTCAATACCAGGTGAAAGGAAAGCATGTGTCTCACAGCAGCAGAGAAGTTGTATCACCTGAAGAGACAGAACAGCATTACCATCATAAAGCAAAAGTGCCCTCTTGTGTTCAGTCATCGATTGAAACCTGGCAGTCTTTACATCCACTGTCCTTCAGCTATAATAAACAAAGTTATAAATGTACAAAACCTTTTTTTCTGTGATTCCATGTCAGTCTTTTGTGAAGGACTACATGATCCTTATTGCAAGGCTGCTGCTGGGACTGGACACCACTCCAGGATCAGGTTACCTCTGTGCAGTGAGTTAAATCAAAGAAAATACTAGAAGACATAGAAAGAAAGACAGTACTGTGCTGCAGGTTACCTAACTAATGGTGAACCAAAACATCTCTTATTCCAGATGAAAGTAACAGAGGAGGATCTTTGGATTGGCACTTATGGCAGACTGTTCCAGAAACTCTGCTCCTCTAGTGCCGAAATTCCTATTGGGATCTATCGGACAGAAGCTCACATTTTCTCTACTTCTGAGGTGAGATCTCAGAACTAAATATCCATCTCTAGTGCAAGAATATATTTACTGAGTATATAATGTGTGACCTACAGCTGAGTCTTGACAGAAGTAATGGATTATACTGTATAATAAGATTACTTAAATTCACAATGACAATCTTGTATGCTGATGCTTAGCTGGTTTAATGCTTCCCATTGTCATCATTTTAGTCATTGTGCTAACATTTGCCAATTAGCACTAAATGCAAAATACAGATATTTGGTCATAAATATTGGACAAATTGAACTTTGACATTCAGAAGGTGCTAGGTGAAAAGCTATATCAGGACATCCTATGAGGAACATGAATGCCTACTTTTTCCTGACAATCCGTAAGACATTTTGCTCAGAACTACAAACATAAAGTTCATGGTGGCGCAAGAGAAAATATCAAGAAAACACCAAAGTCATTAGGAGGCATTGCATGGGAGCCTTGAATGTGTGCAACAGTTTGTGCCAATCTATTTAGTAGCTGAAGTGAAACTCAGACCTGCTGGTGGCACTAGATCAAAAGTCAGGGAAAGACTAAAGCTAGTAGGTTGGAGCCTCTGGGGACCATGAATGTCTGTACAAAATTTTACTGCAGTCTGAATTATTCCAGTTTAGACCCAACAGGCTTTCACAGAACCTACCTTAAAACTATTATTTATTAACCTAATTAGAAAGTCGCTGTTTCTTTTTTTCTGAACTTTTATTATGCAAACATCCTGGCTGTAGAGTTACTGTATCTTTCTGTTTCCTCACTCCAGTCTCAGGTGTCAGTCAGTGTTGAAGAATGTGAGGACACCAAGGACAGGGGGGACGAATCTCGCAGCAATGACCAGTCAGATCACCCCCTACTGAGGAAGAAGAGTATGCAATGGGCACGGCGCCTTAGTAAGAAAAGCACAAGGTGGCAAGGGGTGAGCCGAGACCAGAGCAAAGACCATGCCCAGCGCATCGCCCAGCAGCGCCTCAACCTCTACAGACGCTCTGAGAGAGAGGAGCTGTCTGAACTGGTCCGCAACCGCATGAGGCATCTGGGCCTCCCCACCTCAGGATATGGTGAGGATGTACATATCTTTAACTGAAAAAGCCAGAGCTCAGTGCTAGTGTTTCCCAGTCTTTGATGTCTGCTTCTGCTTGTTTGTTTGTTTCTTGTCTAACCACTGTCTGTAGAAGACCTAACAAACTTGACAGCTAGTGATGTCATGAACAGAGTGAATCTGGGCTACCTACAAGGTAAGTTATGATCCTATGGCAGGAAGGAGTTAGATCATAACAACATCGTAGAGATTTGACTAATCCAGGTTGCTGATTGTTCATCTCTGCCTCAGATGAACTGAACGATCACCAAAACACCCTGTCATATGTCCTCATTAATCCTTTACCTGACACCAGGCTGGAGCTCAACGATGTTGTGTAAGTATTACTCCTTCCTGTTGAGTCACTCAGGACTGTTTTGTAATAAACAAATGTACAAACCCACTGAATAAAATACAGCTAATTACTACAACAGTTTATTTCTCAACCCTTTCTTATGTGTGTGTGCATTAATGTGTACATTTTTTTACAATGAATTTAAATTCACTCTAGTGAAATGATAATAAAAAAACTTTAAAAAACATTGTATTGTAACATATAATCTCCTTTTACCTATATGTTCTATACAATACAGAGCATGTTAGCATCTTTCAGCTCATAGTTTTTGGTTGCTGGCCCATGACTTTGTTGTTTCCAGCCACAGCACTTTGTTTTCAACTAAAATAAACTGATATTATAAACCTACTGTAGGAAACAGACAAAGTTAGCAACTAGCTGGTGAACAAAGTGGAGCATTTGGCAGCTACAGAGCCAGATGTTTCCCTCTGGAGTTGGTGGAGCTAAAAGTGGAGTAAATCCTCCTTAATGCCCTTCATGGCTAAGTGCCTGACATCTGTAGTCACAGGTTAGTGAGTAGGGATCAGTTAAGGAAAGTACCTGAGTGCTGTGTTCTCATGTCTCAGTTCCTCGTTTGTTCTTTGTCTCTCAGGTACTTGATTCGTTCGGACCCTCTGGCTCATGTCGCCGAGGAACTTCCTGTCCATAGCAGCAGTCTGAAAGAGAGACACGAGTCCAGCCTAGACATCAGAGAGGACACCCAGCTCTGATAAGGTCACCCCTAATCACCCCTTTCAATTTCCTTTGGGGTCTGGTTGTGTCCACACAGGCCAAGTCGGACAGAGGACGATTTGCGTTACAATGTTCCAGTGCTACAGTTGGTTACCACTGTATTATATGAGTGCCTACTGTTTGGCAGATGACATTTGATGTTATCTGTGACATTTTCATCCTCTTTCCACAGATACTGTAAGAATAGTGCTCTCTCAGATGAGCAGTCAGAGACATACTTGTTAACAAATTAATACAACTAACTGAAGGTATTTCAGTCCAGTCCATCACACTGCCAGTGTTGCGCTTGGTTAGAGTTAATCTGGTTCACCAGACAAATTAATTAAGACCATAGCACAACCTTTATGATTTTCACAGCCACTAAATCCTCCTGAATTTCAGAGTGAATTGTACATTTTGAGGTTTGGGTTGTGGCTCTCCTCAGGAAAAGCACAAGTTGGACATCAAGATCAAAGATTTTGTGATGCAGAGGTTGATGCCCTAGGATTTTATCCGTCTTTTCTTAACATTTTGAGATTGCCAGAAATCAAATGCACATATTCTAGATTTTTCGTGGGCCTCCAATAACATTAATATTAAAATCAAGCATAACCTTCAATAGTTAGAAAAACAATGTGCATTTAAAATGTTTGTTCAAAGCTTATTTTTGGAGCTAAAGCATATAAATAGTTATTCAGTGGTGTAGAGATCTTAATTAGTAACTTATGTACAAACAGTGGTGGTAACATATATTTGCTGCAGCACATTTTGTTAGGTTGGATAAGCTTAGTTCAACCCTTTAAGCAGGCCATGTCATATATTCAGTATTGTACCATTGAGAATTTCATTTGTACTATATTAGTAATAAGTCATTTTACTTTTAGCACTGCTCAGTGAAAGGTTTTGCTAATTAATTTACATCTGTGACTGTTTGGGTGAATGTATTTCTAAAACACTACATCTTGTACTCAAGAAGTTTTGAGTGCAACTTTTTTGACTTCATACACTATTTCGATGTTGAAACTGTTTGTACTTGAGTTTCATTTTATTTTATTTTTCACAGTAGAGTGCTATGTTATGGAAAACACCGAAAGTGTTTTCGGCTGTCTAATAATTTTACCTTGGTATTGCTACAGTGTGTGTCTTTACTGGGAATAGACCACATCTTTAATGAGAGAATGTAACTTGTTGCATTTTATTATAATTCTCCAAACAGGCAATATAACACAATGAAATAAAACAAATAACTTCTCTGAAAAACTGTAACAGAATAAGCCTCAAAATATAGTGCCTGCTTTTTAGTAAACATAACTTATACATTAAAAAATAAATAAAATACTACTCAAAAATGTACAAAATGCAGCAAACAAATATCAAATATTGTGCAGTCCAACCCACCCCCACCCCCAAACACACTATACCAGCTGCTGACAATCAGTCATTACAGGGAAATGATTAGTGCTGAGCACCAGAAGCTACATTGAAACCCTCTGTTCTCTAGAATCCAGTAAGTGGTTAATGAGCAACAGACAGCTCAGGGGCATAGCTCAGTTCATTTTGGCTCAGCAATAAGAGCCATTCAAGGCTTTCAGATGGCTCATTTGGGTGGAGGAATATGTGAAGTTAAACATGAATTTAATCAGCTACTGATAAGGTATAATACAGAGTCTCCAGAACAATCTCTGTTTGGAATAAATAAAATACTAGTACAATTTCCTCCTCCTGTAAAAACATTATTACTCCTGCCCTGTAACAGCAGCTCACGACTCCCAAACCAAATAAAACTGTTTTGTTGCTTTGCTCTGTTGTTCTGTTGCACAACAGAAGTTTTATAACACAAGAGCATAAACACATTCAGAGCTGAATGCTCTCTCCTTCCCATACACAAATGCTCATACACATCCCCAAACACACTAAACAAGACATTACCACTCACTAACAACCATTCCATACAAAGTCTGTTCAAAGCTCCCTCTTTTTAATAGCACTGACCAGTAGTTGTTAATAGTACATAAATCTGTATGTGGAACATGGATTAATCACAGCAGTAGGGTGTTTTTTGCTGAGCTGAAATAGCAAACTTTGCAAGACATTATTAAGTGACTGTTGATCACTGCCTGTCTGTAGTTGCACTGTCATCAGTAGTATGCTTGCTACTGTAAGCGGGTTCAGTGGTGTTCGACTCCAGGGTCCATTTCTTCTTCACTGCTAAGTTAGAATCCATCATCATGGTGCCTAATTAATGTAGGATGCACCTACACTCTATAATAAAAAAGTGTGACATGCAGAATAAAATGCTAACAACACCAAAAGAACAATCTGAGTACATTCACTTGGCAGGTGTTTTGTTCTTCTCTCCCTCTTTAATAATGTATCATTCACAAAGATCACATCAATTATCTCCAGGATTATTGGGCCCTGGCCAACATCAGTAGTTGGAACAGAAAGCGTAACACGTGTCAAATTTTCTTTCTCTGCTCCTTGGTCTCATTTCCTCCGTGCACTCCCCGGTCTCTTGACCTGCCAGAGATGATTGTGGATGGTCAGGGCGTCCACGCTGACCGACACACTCTTGGCTGGGATGACGGTAAACTGCTTGCGGTCCGAGCTGTATTTGTAGAGTTTGTCGATCATCTTCCCGCTGATAGTGCGTGGCCCTGTGCCTGTGAACTTGACAATCTCCTCAGTGTCCGGTGAGTATGAGTAAATGGCGCGGAACTGGCACCCACCATCACGGAAGAGGATGATCAGGTGATTGGATTCACACTTTTCCAGCTCCTGTGAAATAAACACAAAACATCATTTCTGCATATGGCAGAAAAAATATAACTGAGAAAAACATAAAACACTAAGCACAACAGACGCAAAGTTCTAATCATCAATAAATTAATTACGAGTGATAACACTGACCTCGAGGAGAACATTCTTCTGGGCCTCATTGACCTTTCCAGCCAGGCAGCAGTGAGCGATGGCATTGATGATGATTGGTTTGTTAGACTTGGTGCTCGGTTCCTTGAAGAGTTTAGGACCTTTTACAAACAAAACATAAAGAGATTCATAAGAGAAATGTATAACGCTCTGTAAAGTTTAAAGGAATAGTTTTGGGAAATATGATTATTATGATTTCGGTTCCTGCCCCTGTTAGTTTGGCTCAATCTGCTTTTGCCTACATTTACACTTCCTCAAGCTCCTGTTATTTGATGGAAATTTCCAGAAACTGCCATTCCTCATCCAGTAACCTGAACTTCCCCCACCCACCTTCTTGCCACCTTCTCATTCCTTAACCACTTCCTAGTATATATACTGGCTCATTTTCTCATGCTCCTTGCCAGATTGTCTACCATACCTTCACAGCCTTTGCCTGCCTGTTTATAAACCCCTGCCTGTATACAGATTTTAACCCTGCCTGTTGTTTCCTGTCTTATGCATGTCTTTGGTATTCCTTTAAAGCAACTGACACAATCAGAAATATTACCTTTTGCCTAAATGGTAATGGTGACGATAACTAAGAATTTGTTCTTATTTATTCTTATTCTTTATTCTGTTAGATAAGTGATGTATGTAGTTTTTTTCTGCTCACCACTGTACTCTGTTGAAGTGAAAGATGAGGCAATGGAGCCATTCTCCCAGTCCCTCTCCTTGTTCCTAGTAGATGCTCTGCTTAGCACAGGGAATGAATCCATAGAGCACACTGATCCAGCCCTGGAAGACATGTACAGGACAATCAAATGTCTAAAGCACATGGATACAAAAAATGAGAAGAGATGATCACCACTGCACTAAAATACGACATGGGAATTCTCACCTCTGTGACTCTGCCCCTCCAGAGATGACACTGTCTGCTTCAGTCGCCAAAGAAAGCGTCGACCCTCGATGACTACAGCTCAAATCAGCTGAAAGTTACACACACAGCAGGGTTAAGCCCTATATTAACAAACTAAACTGCCATTATGTTACTGCAAATACAGCTTTTAATTCAGATGTCAATCAAGCCTGTGAATATACCAAAGGGCAAAAAGCTACAAAGTGCAGAAGAGGCCATAAGCAGATGCCCTATAAAGACAAATGGATGACCCATGGCTAGCTGACTCTGTGAAGGTTTGTTGCATAAACTATTTGTATGGGATGCGTATGCTTGATATCACATCATGCAAAGCAGGTTAGAAGCTTCACCT